GCCCACCCGGATGCTGGACCCCTCCTCCCACTCTGCACAAACAGCAGCACCACCCGGGCCCCCACCCCGGCCTGTCAGGTAGGCTGTCACTGCAGCCCAGATCAGCCTGCTGCCCTTGTCTCCACGCCACCACCCCCAGCCCCAGGGCCATTCCCACCAGGGCCAGAGCCTCCCAAACCCCACAGGCAGAGGCCCCGCGGTCGGGACAGGCCCAGCCCTGCAGTGCACCCACCGCAGGCCAACAGGCCCCTCTGCGCAGACCCTCAGGCCGAGCACCCTCCCTCCCCAGGGCCTTTGCACACACTGCTCCCTCAGCCCGGAATGTTCTCCCTCCACATCTCTACCGGCTGCCCCTTCTCATCCTGCAACCTCACCTCTGGTGTCACCCCACATACCCCGGACCTGACCATCGTCACCACAGGCCCCAGGCCATCCGAGCTGGACCCCTGCACTCCTCGGGGGGCGAGGGTGCAGGAGTCAGAGGGGAGCCTGGCTCTGACCGGCCAGACCCCGGAAGGCTCCTCCAGGGCCCTCCTCCTCAGCAGACACCCTGACGCTCCCGCGGTAGCCCCGGCGCTCCAACTCCCCATCCAGCAGGCGGAGGGTGTGGGTCTGCGCCTCGCGCCTGGCCTCCTGGGCTGACCGCGGCACCAGGCTCTGCTCACTCAGGGGCGTGGAGACAAAGGCAGGCTGACCACCGGCGCCCACTGTTAATCTCGGTCAACACCACGCAGGGTGGGCCGTCCTCTGCCCACGATTTACATTTTTATTAAATCGCACAGGAAAATTAGAAACATCATTACTTCCCTCAGTCTTTAACTCTTTCTCTGCCCAGCTCTGCACGCAGCCGCCCCATGCCGTCCGTCCAAGAGTGATGTCCGGGTTCCCACCCCGCCTCTGCCTGCCTGTCACCTCCACAGCGACCGCAGGCTGTGGGGGAGCGTCCCCACAGCATCCTCCACAGACCCGGGATCCTCCCCACAGCCCAGGGTCCTCCCCCACAGCATCCTCCCCACAGCCGGGGTCCTCCCCACAGCTGGGGGGTGATCCTCCCCCACAGCACTCTCCCCACAGCACACGGCCAGTCCCCCGAGGCCCCGGGTCTAGCAGCATCACCTCACTCCTTCCCCAGTGGCCTCGAGTCAGGCAAAGGGCCTCCCTTGGGCCTCAGTTCTTCTTCTGTACAATGGGAAGATCAGGATCTGGTGGGGTCTCAGCTGGGCCCCCACCGTCACCCCTCTGCCCTGACTGTCGGGACCCGGCCTCCCCCAGCACCCGAGGCCCAGAGAGCCCTGGCCACCCAGAGCCCAGTGAGGTGGCAAGGCCTGTCCCCCGGGCGGCACCTTCCCTTCTCAGCCCCACAGGGTCCCTGTCGGCCCCGTAGGGCTGCGACTAGGAGGCGGAGGCAGCAGCAGACCCCAGAAGTGGGGGCTCAGCCCTGGGGGAGCCACCCGGCACCCAGCCACTTTCCTCTTCCTCCCACAGTGCTGAAGACGGGGGGCGCCAGGACACGGGGCAGGTCCCGCAGCCCCTGAGGCACCCGCAGTCCAGGAGCATGAGCCCAAGCCAGGGGACAGACGGGAGCCCTTCAAGAAACCCCTCACAGAATTTGCAGGGCCCTCAGGAGGAAACGAGCAGCTGAGGCACTGATGGCGACAGGGGGGCAAGGCCACAGGAGCTGGGGGGTCTAAGGGGTGACACCCAAGCGAGACTGGAAGGAACAGTGCAGCGGCCACGGGGCAGTGTGGGAAGGGCATTTTGGGGTGAGGACAGCAAGTGCAAAGCCCCTGAGCAGGGGAAGGGTGAGGAACATTCTAGCAACAGGAAGCAGATCTGAGCAGCTAGCCCCCACGGGCAGGGAAAGGTGCCAGGTCAGGGTCAGGACTTCCCCCCGAGGACCATGGCAGCACAGGCGGGGTCTGAAGAGGACGGCACAAGTGAATCAGGTACTTTAGAACGAATGAGCGCACAAGCAGGCTCCACGTGGTCCCCAAAGGCACATGGCTCTGAGATGTCAGCCACACCCCCCCTTCCCGCCCCCCCCCCCCCCCGAAGCTGCTGCCCCTATTCCCAACATGGTCCCTACACAGGTCAGAGGCCTCAGGCCGCAGGTGTGGGAGAAGCCCTCCCCAGTGAGGGCGTCGAGAAGGACTTCCCGTAGGAGGGGGCATCCGGGCACAGCACGCAAAGCGGGTGCAGCACAGCTGCCACCGTCCCGCCATGCAGTGGCCGCTCTGGCGTATCTGTGCCAGGAGCTGACCCAGATTGAGTCATGAATGAAGCGGCCAAGAGTGGAGCCTCTAATTACTTTTCCCTTCTCGTCGTCATGCATTATGCATTGACGGTGGGGGCGGGGGGCACGCAGCCCAGTGAATTCCAGCTTCAGCGGCGCCCTCCCGCCTCGCTCCCCCCACCGAGGAAGAGCCTTTCTTAGCTCCGTGTTGCACAAACACCTTAAGGGACCAAGCAGGGAGCTAATGGTGGCAGAGCTGGTGGCACCGTGCGGGGGACACTCAGGCTGCTCCCAGACACTGAATTAAGACCCCACAGGAGGGGCCAGGCCAGGAACGCAGGTCAGAGCAACAGAAACATGTCCCCATGAGACCCAAGCCCATGGCTGTGGTCCCAGCCTGCCAGAGGCCACTGAGGCCACAACGAGGCTTCTCGACCCGAGTCTGGATCCTCTAGCTGGCCACCTCCATGCCGCCCCAGGCGGGGCTGGGAGGGCCTTGAGCTTACCAGGCGCTCCCACCGCTGACAGCCCAGGGGACACGAGAACCCCGTCACTGGATCCGGGCTCGACTTTGTGCGAACATCAGCTCCAGACACACCCCTGGGAGCCGCCGGCCCCACTGACCGTGGGGTGAGACCGAGGCCCCTGCCCAAGGCCCTGCCACTGCGGGCACTCACCGGCGGCCCCTGGGAGCACCCACTTCCATTTCCTCCACCGTCCACCCTCCGTGGTCCAGCAGATGGGCCACCGCGAGTGATGGACTGGGGCAGAGAGCCAGAGGGCCAGCCTGTTCCAATAGCTCAAGCGACAGACCCCGTGAGCCCCAGGTCTCTGCCAGGCACCTCGGCTGGGGCCAGCATGGCCACACGGTCCACAGTCCACCCTGGGTGGTTGTCACTGACCCCTGCTCCCCCCAACTCCACATCCACTGTCCGACTATGAGACCCAGCACTGATGCTGACCAGGGCTCCGAGCCCCTGTCCCCTCACTACCACCAGGGCGATGGGACAGCAGGCACCGCGACCATGGGGTGGAGGGACTCTAACCCAGGAAAGCTTCCTGGAGGAGGCTTCATATCTGCAGACACCTGACAGAGCAGGAGGCAGGCAGGCGAAGGGGCAGCATGGGCAGGACCCAGAGGAGGGAGCAAGCCTGGCTCCTGAGGACCAAGACGCATCCAGTGTGGTGGAAGGAGGGGCGCAGGGCGGGCAAAAGGAGAGCCAGGCCAGGTGGGAGTAAGAACTTCATCCTGCCGGCACTGGGGAGCCACAGAGGGCGGTGCACAGGGGAGAGTGCAGTCCAACAGCAAAGCAGGGGCCCCAGAGCCCGGAGCCCAGAGCCCCGCCTCCAGCCCCAGCCCACCGCACACTGGGAGCCCAGAGGCAGGAACTTAGGGCTCCACCTCCACCTTCTCCAGAGAAATCTGGGCCCTGTGGCAGGGCCCGGGTTGGGGTTTTCGTCAGAAACTTCCGGTTTCCCCCAGCCCGCGGCTGCTGAGTCAGGAGCACTGGGCGGACCAATCACTGCCCCTGGCAGCAGCGCAGGAAGCCAAGCCCGCTGCCCTCAGGCCAGCCCCGGCTGAGTGAGCCAGCTCCGGCCCCTTCCTGCCCCAGTGCCCCCTCCCCAGGCCCAGAAGCCACAACATTGTCACTTGTCAGTGCTGGAAGTGGGGGAAACTGAGGCCCGGAAGGGGCAGGGTGGACTCGTCCACATTTGGCCCCGTCCCCTCCTCCGGGGCATGGAGCAGATGTGGGGTAGAGGGGACACTCGGCTCAGGCCTGAGAAGGGCTTCAGGGAGGAGGTAGCGCTGGTATCAGACTGGAGGGGCTGAAGAAGAGCGCGGGTGGGGCAGGCACGCAGACAGAGGGAGCAGCCTGAGCAAAGGCTCAGAGGCTGGGACACACAGGGCACCTCTCGGGGCTCTGCTTAGCCAGTGCCCCCCACCAGAGAGACCGCCAGGTCTGGGGGGTGCTGACCGTGGTTGGGCCATGCTGGCTGGCAGTGGGCCTGTGAGCACTGCAAGCAGGAGGGCAGAAGGGCGGAGGGCGTGGGGACGTCACATCTGCTGACCAAGCCCCTGCCCCCACTCAACCTCAGAGAGGAAACGCTCTTTCCCACAGTTACGAAAGACCCTCTTCGCTTGCAGGAAGAAGGCGAACCCAGAGCACACCATTCCATGGCTCAGGGACGCACTCGCTGGGGCCGGGCGCTGGCCCCACAGCCCGGGGGTCCACCCACCAGGGAGCCACCTGCCTGGACACACGTCCCTGCCCAGGCCGCGAAGCAGGGAAAGGCCAGTAGGGACTGGACGGGGAACTGAATGCCCCAAGTCCATGCCAAAGCTGCACCTGGCAGTGGGTCTCGCTTCCATGCCCTGGGAGATTCCTGGGCCCCAGAACAGTTCCCGAACCAGCAGCCCCTGAAGCCGCCCCTCCCAGGGAAACGCTTCCTCCCAGGGGAGTAGGACGCTCCCATCCTCCCCACATTCCAGGCCCCCCGGCCCCGGGGCAAGAAACTCCTCTCCCCACCCGGCAGATGAGGAGACTGAGGTTCAAATGGGCCCCCAGCCACCACTCTTCTCCGCTTCCAGGCAAGAACTGAAGGTCTGGCCCTACTTAAGATCACCCTCGTGGCCACTCTAGATACAAGTGTCATCACCCCAAGCCGCAGATGACAAAGTCCAGGCTCAGAGAGGGAGACACTACCCCAGGTCACACAGCCACAAAGGGCTGAGTGAGGACCTGAGCCAGGCATCTGAGTCCTGCCACCCCAGCTCTCCAGGGCCACCCAGCTCATACATGGCCTCCCGGACTCCGAGGGAGAGCCCCTCCTCCCAGCAGTGATGAGGGAGCCCCATCGACCAGACGCCCTCTGCCCACGCCACCTCCAAGGGCAGGGCGGTGGAAATCCCATAATCTCTGGGGCCTCTCCAAGGAGGAGGTGCCCCCGCCCGCCTCGGCCGCGGGATTCAGTTTCCGGGCCTCTAATCAAGGGATCGCCGACAACCCTGGCAGCCGCACGTGCACGCACCGCCAGGCACCTCCACGACCACACCACCCACATCGCTCACGCCAGCAGGACGGCAGCCGCCTGCCACGCTCCGCTGAGCCAGCCAGAATGGAAAGGCCAGGAGCGAGGCAGGCGGGTTCCTCCATTGTCAGCACTGTCCATTATCCCCCAGGGCCAGGATCCCCAGAGCGGAGCCCACCGAGCGGGCCTGGGCAGCCCCACCCAGTGCCCTGCAGGAAGTAGGCCTGTAGGCTGTGCCCAGAAAGCCCACCAGGCACCTCCGGGTGGGCCGAGGGTCCCGGGTCGCGGGTCCCAACGGGGCTCAACAGGACAGAATCCAGGATCAGCTGGCTCCTCGGCATCTGCCACCACTGCCCAGAGATGGAGAGACCACGACACAGGCACCTATGGGTGCAAAGGCAGGACGGGCCGGGCCCGGCGTCCTCATGGAGCTTGTGTCCTTCATCCACCCTCAGCCGCCTCGGCAACGCATCCTGACGCAGAGCCCAGAGCCCAGAGCCCAGAGCCCTCAGGGCCAGCAGCACGCCGCGTCTCGTCCAGACTCTGTCCAGGCCCTGACGGTCCGGCACGTGGCAGGCACTGAGCACTGGTGGGACGAGCCTTCCCGCGTGGAAACCGTCTGTGCCTGCGTCCCCACTGGGGTGAGCAGCCCCCACATCAGGGCTGCACAGGCCTTCTAATCTGACCCCGCAGCCACGGCCCATGCCCGGGCCCACAGCAGGCCCTGCAGAAACCCCGCCCGCTTCACTGGAACGGCTCTGCCTGGTCTGCCCAGCCTCACCTCCCTGCACCTGCAACAAGCAGCACGACGCAGCGGCTCTGGGGCCTGGCCACCTGTGGGACCTGAGCAGCGGCTGCCGCTCTCTGCGCCTCAGTTTCCTTGTCTGTAAAATGCAGGGAAAGGGCATGCGATTGGCCGCCCCATACTCACAAGCTGTGTGGCCTTGAGGATCTGCTCAGCCTCTCTGAGCCCAGTCCTCACCTGTCAATGGACTGCAGTGGGCTTGGCACAGGCTGGCACCCAGGCACTTGGCGGACTGTGGCTCACCAGCCCTCCACCTGAGCCGCCGACTCCACTCAGGCCTGGGAGCCACGGGGGCCTGGTGCTCTCTCTGGCCTGACCACGCAATTCAGGACACCCCTCCACCAAATGCCGGCACGGGGGCTAGCTGTGCTCGCGCAGGTGGCCCTGGGGAGATGTCCCGAGCCTGGGGTCTCCGTGTCCCCCAGAGCCAGCCGCACTCATCACAGAAAGACCCCAGCTGGCCAGATGCTCCAACGACCCCACCCCAGGAGCGGGCTTTGCTGACCCCACAGCACGGCCGGCCCCTCCGTGGGTCAGGCCAGGGCCCAAGATGGACACAGCCTAAATAGGGCTGGGCCTGGCCCTGCCCTCAACACACCCCGTCCAGCCAGATCTGAGGCAGGAACACCCTGTAGTTATTTACCCGCCCGTCCACGGCCCACCCCACCCAACTCAAACACCCACACCGGTCACCCGGTCTCCTCTGTCACGGCCATCCCAAGCCTCAACCTCCAGCAGAGAACCAGGGGAGGAGTGTGAGGAAACTGAGTCATGCAGCAAGGCACAACTACTCCACCACCCCTCCCCACCGCTGGCCCCAGAGGAGGAAAAGGGGCCACCCTGCAGAACTACCTGGGGAGGGAGTGAGCTCCCCGTCACCAGGTGTGTGCAAGCCAAGCTGCCAAGCCCCCCTGGGGTTACACACACACATTCGCCTTCTCAGAGGCCCAAGCCTGGGCCAGGAAGCCGGGTGGAGTCTGGAGGGCGGGACCTATCTAACCCAGAGTTGCTAAAAAGAGCCAACAGGGAAGTAAAAATAGGAAATAAAAATAAAGTTGCTGCAGCCAGCCTGGTGTTTTCGTAGGAAACAAGGCATCTCCCCAGGGCGGGCTCAGCTCCGGGCCCCTCCCAGGTGAGGAATGTCTCCCCCTCCTCCAACCTCCAGCTGCCATCAGGACTTCAACCGTGTGTCCCCAGGCAGGAGCAGGAAGGGCCTCACGGAGGAATCCCCAGGACCTGGTTCGAATCCCAGCTCTGCCGCTAACCAGCCGCGTGACCTCGGGCACGGAGCTGAGCCCCTTTCACCAGCGATGGTGCAGACACACCTCCCGGGTGCAGAGGGCGGGAGGGAGGGCACATCCGGCACCCCCGGCCCCCCCACAGCAGGGGTGGCCCCCCACACTCAGGTCAGCCACACCCCTCTCTCCACCAGGTCCCCTCCAGGACCCTCCCCAACGGAGCCCCCACTCTGCCCCAAAGGTGGGTGGCCAGGACGCAGAACAGAGACTGGAGGGAGACGGAGCCTGGCTCACCGTGCGGCTCTCAGACCTCAATTTCCTCATCCAACAATCAGAGGAAGCCTTCCTTCCTATCCGTTCCTGTTGGACCTTCCCAGGGTTGGCACTAGGATCATTCGCACTAAAGTGTGCATGACTGACCCTGGCTTCAGGATTGGCTCATTCTTCCCAGGTAAAGAACTCCACAGCAGAGAATGATCTGATCCTAGAGCTGAGACACCCCAGCCAGAGAGCAAGGGAGGGTCATCGGGGCCAGGGTGCAGCTCACATATCCACTGGCCTCCCCATCCCTGGCGGTGTAACGATGCTCAGCTACTGGCTTCACACAGTGAGGCACCTGCAGGGGCAACGCAGCACTGGGCTGAGTCTGCCCCAGGCACCTGCTGAAAGGGAACACGAGTGCTCCAGACGACAGGGGCTGCCTGCCACCACCGGGGCCTGGAACAGTAGGACGTGTGCCATATGTGGCACAGGCATGGCACACACATGACACGTACATGTACGAGCCCCACTGACCCAGCAGGTCCTGCTTCAGACGTCCTCATCCTCCCAGGAGCCCCTTCAGGCCCCGCCACGGGATCTGATGTTCATACCCCCTCGCCACTCCCTGGGAACCGGGGCAGGCCCTGGAGGACTGGCCAGGGGAGCCTGGGGGTGACGTCACTGGTCTGACCCAGCACCGGTTGGCCCCAAATCACCCTCCAGCCTAAGGTCCTTCTAGAACAGACATCTGCTCTTAGCCCTCTCCATTCTCTGGCCCTCAGGAGAAAACCCCAATTCTTCATACAGCTCGCCTGCCCCGCCAGTCTCCACGGACTTTTTCAGCACCTCCTGGCTCTGACCTGCCCGGGCCTCGCTGCACACATCCCCGGGGCTGTGCCTGCCCCATGTCCCTGCCCACGCTGACCCCTCGGCCAGGACTTGAGGGGTGGTCCTCAAGGCCCTAGCTAACCAGGGACCCAGGGGGTCAGGGCGGTGGACCCACCTACAACCTGGACTCACCTGTGCTGGCCGGCGGGGGTGAGGGTCATAGGGCACACAGAATAGACACACACACACACACAGGGCACAGAGAATAGACACACACAGGGCACACAGAATAGAGACACTCAGAGGCTTGCACACGAGACCCCAGTGACAGGAGTGACCCTGCCTAGTCCCTTCGCCCCACGTGGTTCTGACTCCAAGGCCAAGGAAGATGCGGGCAGGACAGGGCCCTGAGGGCAGGGGTGTGGGGAGCAGTGGGCAATACGCCCGCCTCCAGGTCCTGCCCTTTCTGCCTAGCACTCTCCGGCTCCAGACCCTCTGAGTGGGACAGGGAGCATGAGGTAGGGGTCCCCGTAGGCATGAGCAAATGGCCAGAGGGCAGACCCTGGACCCCTCAGCCTCTGGGTCCTGGTCTCCAAGCCCGAGGTCAGGGACTCCCGCAGCCCACCCTGAGCAGGCACATGGTGACCCAGATCCCAGCTCGAAGCCCCAGGCCCCGGCCGGTGTGGGCCGCCAAGCACCAAGCGTGGAGTGCAGACAGCCAGGAGGACAACAGTGGCAATGAAAGGCAGCTCGTTGTTCTCAGAAGCGGGGGAGTGGGGGCAGGGCCGGCTGCCAAGAGGGGCGGAGGGTCAGCAGGGGAGAGAGGTCAGGGCAGGCCGTCTCCAGAGCCCTGGAGGGACCTCCTCGCTCTGGGGTCCCCTGAGACACCCAGGTCCCCACGAGGCCTGCTCACTCCCCCAGGCCATGATGTGCCTGCCCAGTGCCAGAGTGATGGCGGGGGAGAGGGGGCCCAGGGGCCCCTCTGATAGCGAGCTCCACAGCTTATCAGCCGCGTCCAGGGCCAGCGGGGTCTCCGGGGCCATCCCCTCCCCCACCCCACCAGCCAGCGAGCGCGTCCCCACTGCCCAACAGGGGAGACCGTAGTGTCCACAGGCAGATAAGTCTCAGCCAGGGCTGCAAACAGGGAGGGCAGCCCACTCAACTGCCCGCCGCGGCCGGGCACATGCACAGGGACACACCTCTCCCCAGCACTGCGGCCAGTGACAACACCAGGAGATGTGACCTCGCCCTGTGACCCAAACCAGCCCGGGTGGGAGGAGCAGGGCACCAGCAGGCCGGGGCCAGTCAGCTCAGACCCAGCACTGCCTGCGGCCCCACAGCCAAGAGGACGCAGATGGCGCCCGAGCTGAGGCGGCCCTCCGAACACCACCATGCCTCCTCCATTGACCCTGTCCCACGCCAGCCATGCGAGCCAGGAAGAAGTGGGCAGGGGTCGAATGCCCAGGGGTCGGCCTGTCCCTGGCCAGGGGGCGCATCCACACAGCCTGAGGCGGGGGCCCTGAGAGGCCCCCTGACCCCAGGCCTGCTGTGCACCTGCCTGTGGCGGCTCCTGTCCCCTTGGCCCACAGCCCTGCGGCTTTCACAAGCCTCATCTGCAGGCATGGAACCTGAGACAGGTCAGCCAGGCCATGTCAGCTGGAGGCGCAGGCTCCGGACTGCCAGCGTCCTGGATCCAGGCGGCAGCGGCCAGTCAAAAGCCCGGGCAGCCCTCCTGGCGTGGGCCACGCGGGTGCCAGGCGAGGAGCGTGTGGTGGGAGCCAGTCTCCACCCCCGTGATCACAGACACGCCACACCCGCTCCGTGCCCCCAGCTGCAGCCTGGGGAAGTGATCTCTCTGGGCTGCCAAATGCGCTCTTTCAACAGACCGCCGAAAGCAGAGACCCTAGCCTGGGGGCAGAGGGCACGGTGGGAACAAGCCAGGGAGCCCGGGCAGCCACTGAAAGCCCAGTGCCCATCCACCCCCAGGGCAGAGATGAGCTCCCCCGCCACCGCCCAGGGGTGGCATTGCTGGGGCCCGGACACAGGTGGCCGTCTGGGACGGAAGTCCCTCCCTGCTGCATCTGGGCACTGAGTCTAAGGGACACCCAGGCTCTCCCCAGCAGCAGGAGGCAGCTGCACCCACATCAAGCAGAGCCGGGGATTGGGGGCTCGCCCCGCGGGCAGGAACACAGCCACGGCAGCCTTGGCCGCAGCCTCCCCGGGGGGCTCCCAGGGCCCCCAGCTGCAAGCACTGGCCCAGGGAATTCTCTAGGGCGACTCTCACAGTCCCAGACTCTCCCTGCTCCACTCCTGGGAGCCAGCATGAGGCTAGACACACAGCAGGACCTCCCTCCCTTGGAAGTCCAAACAGACCCCCAGAAGGAGAGTGATTCAAATAATGATAACAACTTTAAAGCTTATCTCCACGAGCGGAGGGCTCACCCCCACAACATTTCTGAAATGGAGGGGACAGGGGGATACTGCTGCAGAGAGCACTAAGTCATTCAACAAACATTTCGCGAGGCTGGTGCAGCGTCTGGCGCTGTGGGTTCGGCACCAAACATGACCTATGAGCCGAGCCCACAGACCAGCGGGGTGCTCTGAGGCCTCGGGGCCCGCGGGAACAAGAGCCACGCCCGATCAGCAATGTCTGCCAAGGGTCCGGGCCGGGAGCAGCGGCTCGCCGCTGTGTACTTCCCACCTCCAACTCAGTCCAACATCCTTCCTTCCATTTTACAAATGAGGAAACCGAGATAAAGCGAGAGGAAGTAGCTTGCTCCAAGTCACAAAGTTCATGTGGCCAAGCCGGAATGGGACAGGCAGGGGGACAGGCAGGGGCCCCGAGCAGGCCACCCTCTCGGGCCAGCAGTCTGGAGGGGTGGCCTCTTGGGGGTGAGGTTCCCTGGGGTCCTAGCCTCGGGGGAGGGCAGGCCCCAGGGCCCAGGGAGACAGAAGAGGGCGGAGGGAAGGCCTGGCCCCTCCCCCGTCCGGGCCCCTCCCTCCAGCCGGGCCCAGGGAGGCCGCAGCCGGTACTGCCCCGCCCAGGCCAAGGCCCACCTCCCCACTGTCTGAGCCCCGGGTGGCCGGGCATCCAATGCCTCAGGCCCCACCTGCCAGCCCTGCTCCCGACCTTGCTCCTGGGCGGAAAGTCCAGGCGCAGGGGTGAGGCGGGGGCGGCTCTGCCACCTCCCGTGGACTCTGGCCCCAATCAGAGCTGTTTTCCTCAATCCAGGCGGGGGGGGGGGGGGGGGGGGGGGGGGGGGGGGGGGGGGGGCGGTGAGGGGCCACCAGACAGCCCGGTGACCTCCCAGGAGGCTCCTGGGCAAACGACGTCTGGAGCTGCCCACGGGGAGAGGCGCGTGGGCCCCAGGAATGAACCGAGCGATGTCGGACAGACGGACAGGTGGGGAAGGGACCCCCAGCCGCTCCAGCCAGAGAGGGACGCAAGAATGGCCACTCACCCCAAGAGCCGGAGCTCTGAGCGGGTGGAACAGCACGCGGTGGGCCGGCGTGGGTCATGCTCCCGACCAGGACATTCCAGGGCCCAGGAAGCAGAGGGGACATCAGGCCAGCAGGGGACTGGCTCAGAGGGGCTGAGCAGCAACCAGGCCCACTCTCAGCCTCACCTCCTGGCAGGGTTAATCATTCCCAGACCAGCTGACCACACCCCCGTGCTCACATGGTTCCTCACCAGCACAGAGCTGGGACCCAGCCAGCGAGGGGCAAGTCAGAGGAGCCTGACCATGCAGTTGGACCCTCTGAAGTCCTCCAGGGAGGACCCCTACCCACACACACACGGGCATCCCCTCTCCATACCCTTGGCTGGGGCTAGAACACTCATTCTCTCTGCCTTGATTCCCTTCCCAAAGCCCACCCAAGAAACTCCTATTCATCCCTTAAAACCCATCTACAACATCACCTCTTTGAAGCCTCCCTGACGTCCCCCAAGCATTTTACAGGTAAGGCAACTGAAGCCCGGAGAGGTGAATTTGCTAACCCAAGGCCACACTGCCCCCAACTCAGAGCTGGCACTCACTGATCATATGGGGTAGCCTCTCTCACCACAAGTTTTAAATGTGAGAAAGCCAGGGAGAAGAGGGAGTGGTGCTCAATGTGGCAGGGGAGGCCACAGGGCCACATGACACCAAGCAGAGGCCTGACCTCCACACTGAGGGCAATGGGGAGCTGTGGAGCCTCCCCTCAGGCAGGGGAGGTCAGAGCTCAAGGGAGAGAATGGGCTGGCCTGGCCCCTGCTCTGCCCAGCTCCCACTTGTGAGGTTCACTATTTCTCCATGACACACTGCTCACCCCTACAGGGTCTGCCATACCACTCCCA